GCGGTAAAAAGTACTGGTAATTGTTTAATTACCTTCAATTATGTCTCTAAGAATATCGCAGGAATCGCAGAATGTCGGAAGCAGACATGACTCGGTGGCGCGCGCACCTGGTAGCGCGTCTGACTCCATATCAGAAGGTTGCGTGTTCGAATCACGTCCGGGTCAATGTGCGTCGCTACTTTTGCTCATGCTTTTTAGAAAAGAATGAAAACATTACTTAGGAAAACAACTTGTCAATCCTCCCTTGGCAAATTCGTTGTTTCTGGGACTCGACCTATGTAAAAATTGAAATCAAAAAGGAGAAAGGCTTTTTGTACTAGTGACACCAATGTAGGGCATCCTCATCCAGATCTATATGAATTCAGTTTTCATACTGTCAGAAACCTTGCAAGTATACTCTTACTTGCACTCTACATATGAAGTGCACGACGATAAATATACGTAAGTTTTAATATTCGAATTTTACTTAATACCAAAGTATTGTACATATTTTAAATGTCATTCCTGATCATGTCAATTAAATATTCAGAAATTAACCGTTATCGTGACTCGGTAGGCGTCTGACTCCAGATCAGGTTGCGTGTTCGAATCACGTCCGGGTCAGTGTAGTGGTGATTGCTTTTTTAATCAGGTTTGAGTTGATGCGCGGTGAACCGGATTTTTTCCCTTTACTTTAGTAATTATTCAGTTGCCTTAACGTAATGAACGAATTTTTTCAAAATGTGACATATTTCGCATCGCCTAGGCTCTATATTACCGCCTTTGAATCTAAATGGGCAAATGGTCTGATTCCACCACGTTCGAATGTGAAGTGGTTTGATTTGTTATATTCTTAAATCTTGCACAGGACTGTTGTAGAAAATATCAAGAATTAAATGATGTGCTTTCGTATGTCCCTGAAGATGACAAAGTATCCATGCAAGAATGCAACGAGTATTACGCGACAAAAATCCAACAGCAGTTTAATGCATATTTCTAATATTTTTTTTTTTTAAGAAATCCCCCATCGACCTACGTTTGCTTAGTCCGTCACTGCAAGTGGAAGATATTAAAACCATATTCTGCTTTTGCTTTCAACGTGTGGGCAGAGCTTCAATAGAAAAACAATCATTTGTGGGACGATGGATAAGATGAGACATATGTAACGTGTTGCGCAGTATAGCCAAATTTGGCTCTTTGCGCCATAGAACCAAACATTCACTCACTACTCAAGACGAGACAAGTTTAGATTCTGAGAAATTAGGCAGTTTACAACAAACCATTTCCGAAAATACGATCCCCTTGAAAGCCATGTAAATAAATGGCTCCATATTGACTTTTACAGTTCCTCGCTCCCTTTGAATTAGAGCAGTAGGTCCGGGAAATAAATTTAAAATTTAGATACTCCGCTATTGCAGAACTTGTTAGTAACATCTGGCGTGTATTTGTTTTTTGTTCCACTGTAAGTATTAAGGGACCGTTTTAATAAATTAGTCCACATTTAATGACGAAGCAAGTTTTGTCTGGTTATTTCATCCTCCAACATTTCTTACATTTCACGAATTAAGATAATATTTTTATGGCTTTTACGTCTTACACCTTGAACAGACTATTCTCACAATGTTTCACACTTTAAGATATTTTTTCTTGCGTAAAATTTCCATTTTTAATACTACTTTGCATAGTATACTATTTCTAAACGAACCATGCCGTGTGACTCCGGTGGCGCAACGGTAGCGCGTCTGACTCAGATCAGAAGGTTGCGTGTTCAGATCACGTCCGAGTCAAACAATTTTTTGATTGTTTTTTACCGTCTTAAGAAAGAGTATGGATTTACACTATTAATCAAACAATAATCTTCTAAAATTCCGATTTTTTTTTTGTTTATCTAATATACAGTGCGTATCATTAGGGTTCCAATAAGAAATTTGCATCCGTGTATATAAAACCCATACAATTTGTTTAAGCTCAAAATTCTAAAAAATGAGAATAATGGTAATGATTGAGAACTTAAGGCTAGGTTCCGTTCTCGTCATTTGTCAGAAAACCAAATTCAAGAGTTTCATCTCCAGCAACAATATGTTGATTGAGTGCTTCTAAAAAAATATCCAATCCTTACATTTCAGAACAGGAAGTGTGTGAAAACAGGTGCTATTCTCATTTACTAATTTTCTACTTGGCCTGCACTTTTAAAAGGCATGTTTTATGGCAAAAGGACTGGTAATTGTTTAATTACCTTCAATTATGTCTCTTAAGAATATCGCAGGGAATCGCAGAATGTCGGAAGCAGACATGACCGGTGGCGCAACGGTAGCGCGTCTGACTCCAGATCAGAAGGTTGCGTGTTCGAATCACGTCCGGGTCAATGTGTGCACGTTACTTTTGCTCTGCTTTAGAAAAGGAATTTGTGCAAAACATTGCTTAGAAAAACAACTTGTCAATCCTCGCTTGGCAATTTTGTAGTTTCTGGGACTCGAATTCCATGTAAAAATTGAAATCAAAAAGGAGAAGAAAGGCTTTGTACTAGTGACAAAAATGTAGGGCATCCTCATCCAGATCTATATGACTCAGTTTTCCAGTACTGTCAGAAACCTTTGCAAGTATACTTACTTTTTCACTCTTTCTACATATGAAGTGCACGACGATAAATATACATAAGTTTTAATATTCGAATTTTACTTTAATACCAAAGTACTGTACATATTTTAAATGTCATTCCTGATCATGTCAATTAAATATTCAGAAATTAACCTGTTATCGTGAATTTCGGTGGCGCAACGGTAGTGCGGCCCGGACTCAGATCAGAAGGTTGCGTGTTCGAATCACGTCCGGGTCAGTGTAGTGGTGATTGCTTTTAATCAGGTGAGTTGATGCAAGGCAGGTGAACCGGATTTTTTCCCTTTACTTTAGTAATTATTCAGTTGCCTTAACGTAATGAACGAATTATTTCAGAATGTGACATATTTCGCACGCCCAGGCTCTATATTACCGCCTTTGAATCTAAATGGCAAAATTGGTCTGCTGATTCCACCACGTCCGAATGTGAAATGGTTTGATTTGTTATATCTCTCTAAATCTTGCACAGGACTGTTGTAAAAAATATCAAGAATTAAATTATGTGCTTTTCGTATGTCCCTGAAGATGACAGTATCCATGCAAGAATACAACAAGTATTACGCGACAAAAATCCAACAGCAGTGTAATGCATATTTCTAATATTTTTTTACACTCCCCCATCGACCTACGTTTGCTTAGTCCGTCACTGTAAGAGCATAAGAAAACTTCTGCTTTTGCTTTCAACGTGTGGGCAGAGCTTCACAGAAACAATCATTTGTGGGACGATGGATAAGACGAGACATGTAACGTGTTGCGCAGTATAGCCAAATTTGGCCTTGCGCCATAGAACCAAACATTCACTCACGCTCACTCAAGACGAGACAAGTTTAGACTTGAGAAATTAGGTGCTTTACAACAAACCTTTTTCGAAAATATCCCTGAAAAGCCATGTAAATAAATGGCTCCATATTGACTTTCCTTTACAGTTCGCTCCTTGAATTAGACAACCGGGAAATAAATTTAAAAATTTAGATACTCATATTGGTAGAACTTGTTGGCATTCATGTGTATTTGTTTTTATTCCACTGTATGTAAGTATTATATGCGACCGTTTTAATAAATTAGTCCACATTTACACGACGAAGCAAGTTTTTGTCTGGTTATTTCATCCTCCAACATTTCAGTTTCGCGAATTGATAATATTTTTTGGCTTTTTACATCTTACACCTTGAACAGACTATTCTCACAATGTTTCACACTGTAGATATTTTTCTTTATACCTTGCGTAAAATTTCCATTAATACTACTGCATAGTATACTATTTCTCACGGCACGCGTGAACAGGCCGTGTGACTCGGTGGCGCAACGGTAGCTTGTTTTTTTCCGTCTTAAGAAAGAGTATGGATTTACACTTATTAATCAAACAATAATCTTCTAAAATTCCGATTCTTTTGTTTATCTAATATAGAGTGCGTATCATTAGGGTTCCAATAAGAAATTTGCATCCGGTGTATATTAAAACCCATTCAATTTGTTTAAGGACAGTCGGTATGGTAAAACACGTCTCCAGGAAATCGATTTTGAGATTTTGATATTTCTCAAATCTCCAAATTAAGCCCTTTCCAATGATATAACATACTAGTCAATTTTTGAATTAGAAGTATTTTAAAATGTTTTTTTTAAAAACAG